GTTTACATGAACACCACTCAAAAAAGCTGCAAAATGCAAATCTTTAAGTTAACAGACAAGATCAACAATACAAGTAAACATTCACCGATCCCGCTTAATGATGTGTCTTGCGATGAAGTAATAGGCATCGAGGGGTATGGTGCCATGATAATAGACGAGGAAAGCACCTTCCCCTGGTGGGGGTAGCTTTTCCATACCCACCACCTCGTAACCGTGGAAGGCCCGACCGTGCGCCTCCCACATCGCTGCCATCAATCGACGCAGAAGGTGGTCAGTGTTCAGATGCAGCTCTTCAGCACCTTCACCATTGCTGCTGCTAGTGGAGTTGGTGCCTCGAAGCCCACCTAGATCAATGAAGAAGTCAAGTTATTAGGAGTTAAGAGAATGGTAACAGCTGTTATGATCTTGACACAACCAATAGTGTAGAGGAAGGCAATGATATCTCAGAGACACTTTTACTCTACGTGGAAACGAAGTAGTGACTGCATTTTCCGCTTTCAGTAATGATTTTTTGTTGTATTTCAGCTACTACTTGATATAACAGCTGCTATAGCAACCTTGAATGACTGATCTTGATAATGATCTGAAGGACATCTTGATGTGCTTGCTAAATGCCAGGTCGAACCACTACGAGGAGAGCTATCATTACAATATGATTACTATGGGAGGAACAATGAGGTTCCAAATGAGGGTAAGCTAATCCCACGTGGGACAACAGTTCGTCATCTCGATGAATTGACCGTAATTCCCATTGTTATTGTCACCATTTTGTAAAAATCTCCACTTTACTGCTATCATGGAGCTTGAGTCAAATAAAAACATCCATTTAGCATAATTCTACGACACTTATCTGCCTATATTTGGCGTCGTGAACCCAATACAATAGTCCACAAGTATTTGCGATTGCAAAGGACTTAGCTTATCCCAAATGCTAATGTAATTAAACTGTCCAGACAAGGATTATTTCATATGACCAGGATGGAATAGGTATAAAAATATACATTTCGTATATCCTTGCAAATGAGCGAATGTGATGGCTGAAAGCAATCCACCCTAGTTGATCCGACCTACTACCTTCATTTCAGGAAACCAAGATAAAGTAGAATGACGAGATAACGAGTGCGGGTGGTGACGCATTGAACTGACCTGCCGGATCGATAGGCCGTCACTCTGCCCTATTTTCATTGGCCGAGAATGGCCAACAAACCTTCAGTTCATCTAACGTTTCACCATAGAAACTTATTGTAGCGACTAGCTACCTAACATTGGAATCTCAACGAATCAAGCAACTCGACGCAACTGAGGCAGT